ACACAACAAGACGCCTGTACCAGCGCGCAGCACAGCGAGCGCGACGGGCTACAGCAATCCTGGCCTTAGAGCGCGAATCCGAAGAAGCTCGGGCCGCCTACCACTACAGGCGAGCTATGCTCACCAAGGCTATCAAGCGAAGCAAGCGGAAATGTTGGATGCAACTCTGCAATGAAGCCGACACTCTGCCCTTCGGCCAAGCCTACAAAACGGTAATGGGCAAACTCGCAAGATGCCCCGTACCGACCTGTTCGGAACATCTCAAACAGATAGTGGAGACACTCTTCCCGCACCAGACAGAGCTACGACACCATCTGCCAGCTGTATGTACATCGGTGGCGCCTCCCATTGACACGGACGACATAACTGCAGCGCTAAAGCGTATCAAAACAAAAAAAGCGCTAGGACCGGACGGCATCCCCAACGTAGTGCTAAAGTTTATCGCTAGCGCCCTCCGAGACACAATAATAAATGTGTTTAACCAATGCATTATTGAGAAAACCTTTCCGATGGATGAGCTGGAAGTTGCAGAGACTGGTCCTTGTCCCAAAAGCCGGAAAGGACCCGCAGGACCCCTCAGCATACAGGCCACTCTGCATTATTAGAGAAGGAGATCGCAGATCGCCACGGACTCTCTGACCAGCAGTTCGGCTTCCGCAAACAGAGCAGCATTGTCGACGCAATCAAACTGGTAGCGGACACGGCACGGAACGCTATAGAAGGCAAGCGATGGGGCGGTGGGACCAAAAAGTACTGCCTTGTGACAACGCTAGACGTGAAAAACGCGTTTAACTCGCACACACGCGCACACACACACACGACACACACACACAGACACTAGAAAAGCGAAAGACGCGGTGCGGACGCTCATTCTTTTGTGCTCCGGTTTTGCGCCCTTTGCTGCAGCTGCTGCAGAGTAAAAGCGTCTCTAAGCGACAGATTTAACGACAGAAACAACGTACCTGGAGTTGGCGCTGATCACCAACTGGAGGTGCAGTCGCTAGTGATCCGGACGGACGGGTCCCCTCCGCTGGGTAAGACAACAACAACACCACTCAATTGTGCCCTGGAGCGCATTGAGTGAAAAGCTTTTCAATCCCGCTGTTCGCAGCAGAACGCCCTCTGAATAATATTATATCTGAATTACAATATTACTTTAATTCTCAAATCACGATATTGATATTACTATTATTTTTAAACCACCATAAAATACCATTGTAAATTGCTCACCACTAATCTATCGATAGTTATTGTTGAAAGTTCGAGAAGTAAATCACGCATTACAAGCAGTCTAAAGGCTCCTTTGATTTTTATTAAAATTTATAAAACATAAAAGGGGGCCGAAGTGGGGTGCAAACTAGCATCTCCTGAAAACATTGGTGACCCCGACGTGATTTTTTTCTTGCTTCTCGTCTTGCCGCAAATCTTAATTTCGTTGTTCATCGCTCTTTTGCCGCTGCAGCATAGGCACTGTTCACACAAGAAGTGTATCCGGCAGTCGCCATCCAACCGCCATGTAACTCCGGAACCAGTACATGGAACATGAAATTTCACCTCACTTACACTAATACATTGTAATGTACTCTGAAAATATAGAACAGAAGAAAAAATAACCTGCAAGCGAACAAACGTGTTTTTTTCAAACCTACTAAGAAAATTTGTGAAGAGCAGAAACGCTCCCCCAACGATACAGCAATTTGTAAAGTTCATCTGGAAGCCCTGCGGACGCCCTACTACAACATTTGGTCCTTCGAGCCGGATACTTCATCAACATTTGGCATATCCAGTTCGCCCCAGCAAGCATTGGTGGATCTGCAATAAAAGGTTCCAGGAACAGCTACAAATTCAAACAAGATAAGTAGCAGTGCACCTACCTCAACTCGTCCATTGCCAAATTTCCGGCAACTCCAGTCCGATTAATTCATATTTGTGTGTCTGAACATATATTTTTTCGCTTCACATTGTCCGTGGTTAAAGCGAGGGGCAATTGTATTTAAAAAATTCAAAAAAAAAACCGCAAATAAAATATTGTTCGTGGCCATAAGGGCATCTAAAAAGTGACAAATATTAAAAGAAATAAAACAGAAAGTGACTCCGATAAGGTCGCCATATTGGTGTCTGTACATATGTATATACATATATGTACAAGTGCATACCCAAAAATTTAACCGATCGCCATATTGATGTACGCAAGTACATCAAGACATATCTGCACACATAGGCTTTCGCTCCGTTGAACAACAAGTGTATGCGCTTCTCCATTCTAACCTTCACCAAATAATCACATACCTAAATATATAAAAACACACAATTCTGATTGGTATTTAGTTAATTAAAACCACACTGTGCAAATTCACCTGCATGTATACACACACACGCACATCATATTATATGTGTATCGTTTGCTATTTTTCCTCCACAGCAGCTTCAAGATCAATTTATATATTTATTTTTACCAATTAATTGGCAAGTGCAAAAGGTAAACAAACATCAGGGTTGTAAAGTATCAAGATCGGTTTTCGATAAACTGATTCTGAGAAACTTTTATATTTTTGTATGTTTCCACTTTGCCATTCGAATCGAAATCGA